TTCCCGCACTCTACTCCATGTCCTGAGGTTATATGTATATATAATTATAGTTGACATACAGTATTATTCAACATCAGTTTCAGAAATACAATGCGGTGGCCAAGCCAACTCTTAACCAACTCGCCACATGACTGGCCCCCAAAAAGTCTTTTATAACTGTTTTTTGTTTTTGTTTTTGTTTTACAGCTGGGATCCAATTAAAGCATTGCATTTGGTGGTAATGTCTTTTTACTCTCTTTTCATCTGAAACAATCTTCCTGTTCCTTCTCCCCCACCTCACTCACCTGCCCCTGCCCACGAAATTCACTTTTTAAAGAGACCAGGACAGTTGTCTTGTGAACATCCATGTTCTGGATTTGCCTGAGTGCTTCCTCATAGGGTTCTTTAACTTGTTTGTTGATCTTCCTGTATTTCTTGTGTCTGGAAAGTAGGCCTAGAAGCTAGATTAGATTCAGGGTAACAATTTTGCCAGAAACATGTCATAGGTGATGCTATGTATTTCCTAACACATCTCATAAGGAATACAAAATATCAGGTTGTCCCATTCTTAGTAATATTAAGTTCGATCACTTGGTTAAGGTGACAATTGCTGAACATCTTTCCAAAAATGAAATTTTAAAATCCCTGGACAGTTTACCAGCTTCTTATAAAGTCTGACATACATTTACCATATGACCCAGAAATTCTACACCTAGGTATCTTCCCAAGAGAAGTGAAAACTTATGGTCACACAAAAACTTGTACAGTTGCCCTTCAACTGGTAAATGGATAAACAGACTGGGGTACATCCTTACAATAGAATACCACTCAGCAATAAAAAGGAATGAAATACTGATATAGGCAACAGCAAGGATAAATCTTAAAAGCATTATGCTAAGTGTAAGAAGCCAGATTTAAAAGGGTACACCCTGTATAATTCCATTTATATAACATTCTGGAAATCGCAAAAACCCATAGGAACAAAAAACACTACTATACGAAAATACCAATTTTTAATATTAAGAGATAGAAGTTGCCAGTGACCAACATACTTTTACACCACTTTCTGAAGGGTATCAAGGAACAGGAAAGGTTAATTATTACTCAGAAGGATTCTACGTAAAGGTAGAATCTGAACAAAGGGAAGTGGAGGGATATTTCACCCTGCTCAGAGTGAAGCTTTATGAATGGAGCAGATTCTGACTGCCTAATTAACACCCATTCCCTTCCTTCTTCTCTAAAGCACCAGACTTTAGGGAGGTATCCATCCACCTTCCTCCACAAAGCCATCTGCTTTACTGAACCAGTTATGTTTATTTCACATCCCTTGTCACAGATGGCTTTAGGAACAGAATTGTGACTCAATTCAGACCAGTTAATTTTGAAGAAGAGTCTCCCAAGGGACTTCTAGAAACATTTGCTTGTTTCCTTTCTCAATTAAAAAAAAAAAAAGACTTGGCAGAAGAGATAAGTTGGCTCTTCTTCCTCTACATGTTATTGTACCTGAATGTGATGCTTGGAACTCCTGCAGCTATCTTGCTATCAGCTTAGGATAAAGTTCAGACAGGTAAGAGAAAATCAAGAGAGCAGGGCGACAGCCCTGTGATCATGCACGTAGAACCTGACCTAACTTTGCTTATTATTTAAGGCAGCTGAGTTGGGGTTTCCTGATATAATTCATAATACCCTAAAAAACTTAATGCCTGTCCCACAGTGTAACATACCTTTTAAGTGGCAGTAATACTGGGCCCATGTGAAAGATGCTGCAAAAAATAACAAGAGATATTTTTATTAGTTGGATTTTCTTTTTATAGTTGCTGAGCACACCACTCTTCCAAGTTTTTTGTCAGCTCATTTTTGTTAGGGTTTTAAATCCCAGTGTCACCCCCTATATTACAGACATTTCTAATTTCAATGTAGTCAAATTTATTACTTTTTGCCTTTATGGCTTCTGATTTTGTCTTAAGAAATCTTCCCCGGGCCGGCCGAGTGGAGCGGTGGTTACAGCTGGCTTGGGGGTGGGAGGGCAGTAGATGGGGGGAGGGGGGTTGTTACTTTGTGAGGGTGAAAAGGATAACTATTGCATTGTTCTGTACACCTGAAACTAACAATAAAAAAATTAAAAAAAAAAAAAAGAGCTAGCTTGGGATGCCAGAGGGCCCCGGTTCGGATCCCACATATGAGGGCCAGTGACACTGCCCTCCACAGCTAAGATACTGAACAACAGCTCAACCTGGAGCTCGGCTGCTGTCAGTCGCTGGCGACAGCGTAGGCTGCAGCCCCTGTGGCAGTGGGTTGCCATGGGCTACTGTGTGTAGCCAGCAGCCAGCGTGAGCGGGCAGCAGCCGCAGTGAGTGGCCATCCAGAAGCCGGGGACTGATCTGCCTCGCCCAGGAAGAGCACAGTGATGGTGCCAACTTGAGCCAGTGAAGCAACGTCCTCCACAACTAGACTGAAGAACAAAAGGACAGCAACTTGTCTGTTCCCCTTCCCCCAATTCCCCAATAAAAATCTAAAAGAAAGAAAGAAATCTTTCCCTGTCTTGATCAGGACTTTGTGATCCACAGCTTCAGGGCTTTTCAATAACCTGTGCTCTGTGTGAATGGTGCCCCCTGGAGCAAAAAGTGCATGGCATCCCCTCCTTAAGTTGTGCAAAGCAGTTCACTTGAAGTCGTTAGGATAAGCCCCTATATTTTCTGAAAGTTGTAAAGTTTTGCTATTCTTATTTAAATCTTTGATAAATCTATAATTTACTTTTGTTTCTGATATGGGGTTTGGATCCTATTTTATTTGGCCCCAGGATCATAGATCGATTAATCCATTTTTTTCCTCCAATGATTTGTAATGTCACTTCTGTCACAGGGTCCATATATGTTTGTGTCTGTTTCTGGACTCTATTCTGTATTCTTTGTTTATCCCCCACCAATACCACACAGTCTTAGTTACTGTACCTTTATAATAATTCTTGATATCTATTAGGGCAAAACTTGCAGCTTGTTCTATTTTAAAAGTGTCTTGATTATAGTTGATCCTTTGTTCCTGAATTTTAAAATCACTTTATTAAAATCTTGAGAAACTGTGGGATTTTGATCAGAATTACATTGAATTTATTTATATAAATTTGGCATCCATATATTGTCTCCTCATACATTAATATAGATTTCTTCATTTAATGCCTATCAGTAAAGTTTTATCATTTTCTTTGTAAGACCTAGTACATTTTGTTAAGTCTATGCTTAGGCACTATATACTTTTAGTTGCTATTGAGAATGGGATATTTTTAAAATTAGTTTCAAACTATTTGCTGGTGCCCACGTTTAGGAATACAGTTTTTAAATATGTATGTTGGTTTTATATTCAGAAATGTACCTGAACTCTTATTAGTTCAAAAATTTGTTGGTTAGTTCTTAGATTTTCTACATAAATAATCATAGTCTATAATAATTTTGCCCCTGTACAATTCTTTTATATATTCTTTATCATCTTACTGCTAAGACTAAGAGTTCAAGGATATTGTTGAATAGAAATAGTCATAGAGTGCATACTTACCTTATTCTTGACTTTAAATGTTTTATTATTAAGTGTAATGCTTTTTACTCTGTGTTTTTGGTAAAAACACTTTGTTAGGTTAAGGAAGTTCCTTTCTCTGCCTAGATCATTAAGGGTATTTTGTTGTCTTTTGTGAAGGGATAGTGATTTATATCATTGATTTTTCTGCATCTGATCAAATGGATAAAATGGATTCTCTCATTTAATTTGTTTACTATCATGAATTACATTGAAGGACCTTTATACTATAAAATTATGCTTGCATTCCTGAGATAAATCCATTTTGAAAATTAACGTATATATGTATGTATGTATGTATGTATGTATGTATGTGTGTGTGTAACTGGATTTTTCTAAATTTTGGTTTAGTTTCATATTTTTGTTTCAGTAACCTTAAGTGAGGCTGAGCTCTCATTTACTGTTTTGTTTGGTTTTGATATTAAGATTATGCTAGCCTCATAGAAGGAGCTATGTGTCTCCTTGTTTCTTTCTTGAAATAATTTGTATAAATTTGGGATCATCTGTTGCTTAATTTTTTTGGTAGCAATCACCTGTAAAATCATCTGGGTCTTTTTGTTTGTGTGGTGGATTCAATTTCATTAATTGTCATCATTCTATTCATAGTTAAGTCAATTTTGGTAAATTGTATTTTTCCAGGAAACTGATATTTATCTATTTCTTAATTCATTGGCATAAAATTGTCCATAATATTCTCTTATTATGTATCTACTATGTCCCTTTTTTCATTCTTTACAGTCTTTTTCTTTTTTTTTCTTAATCTAATTAGTCAAAGGATTTAAATTTTACTTGTTATTTCAGAGAACAAGCTTTTGGTTTTATGGATCCTTTTTGTACTCTGTTTTCTTTTATTGATTTCTAGATTTTCCCCTTCAAATTTCCATAGGTTTACTCTGTTGTTCCTTTCTTAGCTTCTTGATTAGCTGATGAGCTACAAGGTGTGATAAAAAAAAATACGGTGAATGTTTAAATTAAAAAATAAAATTATTACAGTGAAAGACACATTGCCATTAATCCCCCTCAAAACAATCCCCCTCACTTCGAACACACTTATCCCATCATTCTTGTCACTTTCTGAAGCAGTTTTGAAAGTCCTCTTTCACGAGTGTCTTTAGTTGCACTGTCATGGCTGCCTCCATGTCCTGAATCAATTCAAAACATTTACCTTTCACGGTCATTTTGACTTTGGGGAAGAGCCAGAAGTGGCATGGTGCCAGATCCAGTGGATAAGGTGGATGAGGACACACCATAATGTTTTTATTTGACAGAAATCGCTGTACCAGATAGATGTGTGACATGAAGCCTTTCTGTTGTGATTACAAAATATGGTGAATGCTGCTGCTGAGTGCCATCAAACAGAAAGACATGGATCTTCAATACGAAAGCAGCACGTCGAACCTTCATAACAGTGTGTGAAAAGTTTCAACTTGTTCGGGGCAGTCAGTCGGGTGTGAGCTATGGTTAAGAGGTGTGTTTTAAAGTGTGCCATAAATCATCCTCCTCCATCATGATAAAGTTCCGTGCCACACATCACTTCTGGTATACAGCAATTTCTGTCAAATAAAAACATTACAGTGAGTCTTCATCCACCTTATTCACCAGATCTGGCACCATGTGACTTCTGGCTCTTCCCCAAAGTCAAAATGATTCATGGAGGCAGCCACAACAGCCCAACTAAGACACTTACGAAAGAGGACTTCCAGAACTGTTTCAGAAAGTGGCAAGAACGGTGGGATAAGAGTGTTAGAAAAGAGGAGGAGTATTTTGATGGGGATTAATGGCAACGTGTCTTTTACTGTAATATTTTTTTTTAAAGATTTTTATTGGGGAATTGGGGGATGGGAACAGCGCTGGGGAATTGAGGGAAGGGAACAGACAAGTTGCTGTCCTCTTGTTCTTCAGTCTAGTTGTGGAGGACGTTGCTTCACTGGCCCAAGTTGGCACCATCATTGCGCTCTTCCTGGGCAAGGCAGATCAGTCACCTGCTTCTGGACAGCCATTCACGGTGGTGGCTGGATGCTCACAGTAGCCCATGGCAACTCACTGCAGCAGGGACTGCAGACTGCGCCATCAACTCACAGCAGCCCAGCTCTAGGTTGAGCTGTTGTTCAGCATCTTAGCTGTAGAGGGCAGTGTTACTGGCCCTCATATGTGGGATCCGAACTGGGGTCCTCTGGCGTCCCAAGCCAGCTCTTAACCAACGCGCCACTCAGCTGGCCCTGTAATATTTTTTATTTAAACCTTCACTGTATTGTTTGATCTCACCTCATACTCATTTTTTTAGTCTTTTGTAATATAACCATTTAAGTTTACATATTTTTCCTTTAAGTACTCTTAAAAATTGTATTCCACAAATTTTTATATATATTTCCATAACCATTCAGTTTTAAACATTTTCTACTTTCCATTTGTGCCTATCAACTTCCTTTTGCCCCTACAGATCCACTCACTTCCTCCTTTCTCCACCCTCCTCTCTACCCAACAGGCTGACTGTGCCCTCTGTCTTCTGGCTGGGTTTTGCCATTGGGGATTTCTGGAGGAAGAGCTCCAGCTCAGGGTATTATTTCTTTGGTCTCTTCTCTGTGATTGCCGCAGGCTGATTATATCCCTTGACAGAAGGCCCTGCTTCTTAAAAGATGGCCTGCTCTTATGATTCTTTCTCCTTTGGGATTCCAGTAACTCCTCTCTTTCCTTGTCTCTTTGGACCTAGAGATTGTGATGGTCCAACTCTTGCTAGTCCCAGATCCTCCCCGTCCCTTGATTTCCATATATCCTGCTCACACCTTTAAAATTAGGTCCTTTATAAATCATTTGAGTTGGGACTCTGAATGATACATCATTTTTATTTTGTCTTTGGTCCATTACTTATCTAGAAGTTTGTTTTCAACTTTCCAAGTCATATAAGAGTTTTGTGGTTTTTTTAAGTTATTCTTTTTAAACTAATTTTTAATTTAACTGATCTTTATTTCATGAACATGTTCTATATTATAATGATTCTTTGACATTTGTTGAGACTTGCTTTGTGGTCAATTTTTATTTTGTTCCACATGTGCTTGAATAGAATATTTTCTGTATCTTTACTACTTTTGCCTGAGAGAAGGGGGTTGTATAATTGTATATTTGTCAAATTTCTTCTTTAAACATTAATTTTTATTTATATACACTTGAGACCATGTTATATAGGTTTAGAATTATTTTATCTTCTTGGTGATTTGTGTGGTTTTTTTTGTCATTATATAGTGACCCTCTTTATTTCTAATGATATATCTTGCCTTACAGTCTATTTTGTCTGAAATTAATATATCTACTGCAGATTTCATTTCCTTAATACTACCTCTGTATATCTTTTTAACATTTCAACTTTATGCTTATGTTTAGGTATATCTTGTGTCAATAGCATATAGTTCAATTTTTTAAATTATGTAACCTAATTATCTGTTCTTTTAAAAAAATAAATGTTCCCATTTTAATTTACAATCAAAGTATAATACATTTATCTAGGATTCAAGGTATTTGAATTCTAGGCTCTACCCTATCATTATGTGACCTTGAACAACTCTCTCAAACTCTCTGAATCTCAGGAGAGTCATGATAAAATAAGTGTTGAATCAGATTATGTTGAATATCCCTTCTAGCTCATTTACTCTGTCATCCATTATATTACAGTAACATGTTAACAAATTGTTTTGAGGCAGGGAGTCTTAAAACCAGGACTAAAATTAAAAACAAAATCCTAGAGTAATTTAGTAAAATAATTCAAATAGTAACTAAGGTTTAGCTTTGGGATATTTGCTTTTTGTCATCTAAAACTTCAATTTTCCATTATTCAATATACAAAATTTTGCAGTTTAATTTCTTTTCTGATAGTGATCCATGTTTTTAAAAAAATATATTTTCCATGATCTGGGGATGTATTTAAATATATATTTCTTGTGATTCTAAAGCTTTTTTATATTCTTTAATAATCCAAAAAAGCTTTTCAAGGTTTCATTATTAATTTCCTGCCTCATTTTCTTTTACCTTATTTTTTAATTTCTACAAAATTTTTCTAGAGTTGCAGGTGCCACAATCTTTACCACTTTTTCACAAGATTAATCTAAAAATCACATGACCATATTTGAATTCTAAGACCTCAGAAATAAACCTACAGATCTCATTGTTAGCCTCTCCATTTAATGGAGGTGCAGTAATAACTGTATCTAGTTTTTGTAGTCAATGGTATTACACCATTTTATTTGGAGCCTGATTTTCCATGGTTGGCTATAGTGACACAGCCTTTAGGATTAAGGCCTTTAAGAAGGAAGAGAACACATTGTTTCTTGCTCTAGTTTTCCCCTCACATTTTTGCACCTCTGTGTCAATGTGAACCAAACAATTTCCCAAACCCATGACTGATCCCTGGGATTCCTCAACCCACCCATAAACTACAGCAACCTAAAAAGTGGTGCCAGGACCAATCTTTGTCATTTAACTGACAATGCTTTTGATCAGGACTCTGCTTTCTTATAAACCAATCATATCTTCCTGAAACTATATAATCCTAGTTACATTGGTTTGACTTGGTTATTTCTTAATTCATCCCAACAGCACATTTATAGTCTCTTAGGATGGGTCAATTCTCCAGATGACTCAGCCAATCTTTTATTGGGCCATTTTCCTATGTAGATGTAAAATATGTGGATGTGGGTAAGGATGGGAAGTAGAAGTGGGAGGTGGGAGGTTAGAACCTAAAGAGTATTTTTAACTTTCCTCTCAAGGTGGGGGATCATCAGATTTGAGTGCACCCCTATAACTGTGTTTTAAAAAATTTAAATTGTATCAGTAATATACTAATGTTACTTTTGTTTAAAAATAAAGGATAAGTGGTTAGCTCACTTGGTTAGAGCACAGCACACATAACACCAAGGTTGCCGGTCCGACCCCCTCATGGGCCACTGAGCTGAGCCCTCCACAGCTAGACTGAAACAACTACTTGACTTGGAGCTGCAAAAAAGACTTTTAAATAAATAAAGGATCAAACCCTCAAAGTCCCCTTTCATTACCCCTTCTATTGCCCCCCCCCGTTTTGAGGGCACCTTTCTAGTACCCATTCTATACATTTCTTTCCTCTAGTGCAGTGGTTCTCAACCTTCCTAATGCCGCGACCCCTTAATACAGTTCCTCATGTTGTGGTGACCCCCAACTATAAAATTATTTTCATTGCTACTCTATAACTGTAATTTTGCTACTGTTATAAATCATAATGTAAGTATCTTTTTGTTTTCCGATGGTCTTAGGCGACCCCTGTGAAAGGGTCGTTCAACCGCCAAACGGGTAGCGACCCACAGGTTGAGAACTGCTGCATACGCATTTTCTTTTTACATAAATGACACCTCCTCGTTTTATAAATGGAAACCAAGTGAAACCTTGAGGGGAGACATATGTTGACAGATTTACTGAAAGACTTTATTAAAACCTACCATGTGAAACCTATGTAACTTTTCTAACAACTGTCACCCCAATAAACTTTAATTAAAAAAAAAACAAAACCTACCATGTATCAGACTCTGCACCCAGTGCTTTACTGGCACGAAGGGTTCTGGTATTTTACTTCTGTTGGATGGGTCGCTAAGCAATTAGTTTAGAGGTTGGGAAGCAGGTGAAAAGGTCGTAAGTGCGATGATGTAGGATTTGTATTTTGATGGGAGCTGCAGGAAACCCAGCAAAGGGTATGGACCTGCAAAAAAATAAGAAAAAAAAAACTGTCATCGGTAGTTGGGTCTGTAAAAGCTTGTGAAGCTAAAACGCGAATAGCCTACTTACTACCTGCCGAGCCCGAAGCTTCCTTTGGAAACCAGAAACCGATATCGAGTCTATGAGACTAGCCTTGGAGCTTGCAGAGGAAGGCAACAGAGGTTGCATAGAAGGATGCGACGGCAGAGAGCAACCGAAAAGCCAACGGCAGGAACAGAGACAGTTCTTGGACCGGCCTGGAAGTGCGCCTGCGCTGACCGCCGGTGGGGGGCGGGGCGTGAGGGGCGGAGCTTGGGGGCGGTCAATGAGCCTGCGCAAACTGCGCTGCGAGGTGGGGGAGGGCGATCCGTGTGTGTCTGTGTTGTTGTTCCGCGGCGGCGGCGGCGGCGGTAAGATGGCTGCCCACGGGGGCTCCGCGGCGTCCTCGGCGCTGAAGGGGTTAATTCAGCAGTTCACCGCCATCACCGGTAAGAGACGCGGTTACCGGAAGGTGGAAAGTGGGGTCTGGAGCGGGCAGCCCGTCCACCCCGGGCTTCCCCTTACCTTCATGCATTCCTCCTTCGGGCTTTTCCCACAGCTCCCGTCGTCCCTCCTGAGGAAGAGGCGACGACGGCGTCGGGTCTCCGGTTCAGGCGGGAGACTGGGCCCCCCCACGCACCCCAAATCCTGGTTCTCAGTCTTCTTGTAGTGTGGAGGGAGACCCCCCGCTTCTGTCATCCCAGACCCGGGGAATGGGCCGAGCCCTTTCGCCCCCGCCGGCCCAGGGACCTAGGGGCGGGAATGGTGGGGGGCCGCACCCGGGCCACCGCCCTCCTCCTTCATCGTCATCTGTTCTCTGTGCAGCCCTGAGGTACATTGCATCCCCCCCACCTCCTTTTCCTTTCTTCTTCGGCCAGGTCATTCTCCCCCCGTCCCTGGCCTGCCCTTCCCCTTTCTGGGCCCCTTGGCGCCATCGCCGTGGCCCTGGCTTGTTCGGGCCCTCCCGCTTTAACGGCGAGGATGGTGGGTTCGGCAGCGCCTTCACGGATCCCGCGGGATAGGCCGCCAGAAAGGGGTGTGTGTGTTGAGGAGTACCTTCAAGACATAGGTTTTAAGATTAGAATGAGGAGGAAACCCCCCACCCTCCCCCCACATACACACACACACAAACCTTAATAGGGAAGGCCTGGAGGAATCTTGGGTGGCGTTTCCCACCTCCCCATAATAAAATCTTAAAGGCTGAGACCGTGGCGCCGGGGCCTCTTGCTGATAAAACAGGGATGGCGGCAGAAACTTCTTTGAGAGAAAATCAGTTTCTGGATGTCAATATCCCCCAAACCTTTGGTTTTTATTTTCTTTTGGTCCCCTGCGAAGGGCACACGCAGAACCTCAAACCGTCTGGAGGAAAGGCCCTAAGTCATTCTATGAATTCTCTGACTTCTCTCTGATGGTGCTGAACTTTTTTTGCATGAGTTATTAGAGGGCGGAGCAAATGATGAAGTTCTCTGTGGAGTGATTTGAGAGAAGAGTACTCCATGTGCCTGAGTGTAATTTTGCCTTTCTAGTTTGTCATTTTGGAGGGAGGTCAGAATGTTAGTTCCCTCGCATAACAGATCTATACTTTTTTCTGGTAATTTGTTAGATGCAGAGAACGTTTCCACTACTAATGTGCATAGAATTTGACGTGCAAGACCTGGTTAAGTAACATTTTTTTATTGTTTTAACTACTGCAGGTTGTGTACAGGTTGCCGTTTTATAATTAAAGCTAGTTTTATTTTTTGCTCAGCAGTAACTAGATGTTTGATGAATTATTTAGCTTGTGGGATGAAACATCACGTTAAAGTTGATAAAGTAAAATTTGTAATCAAATTGGGATGAGGTGGATAACTTTTCTTAATATTTTTAAACTTTTGTGGTTGGACTCCTATATTAAAGATGTAATGCATTTCCTAATGGCTAAGCAGATCACTGTTATTGGGAAAATTATTGTGTATACAAGTTAATATTGCATTATGTTTATATAGAAAAATCTTTGTAGTAAATCAGATATTGAAGTATTTACCATTAATCTTGATTCAGATTTTTTAGAAGTGGTTTAAGATGACATATGTTTAATTTTAGTTTTTTATGCTAACTACCACCCCTTCAGCGACTCAGATTATAATCTCACATTATTTCTTCTAACATAACATTTTTGTTAGATATAGACAAAACACAGTGTGGTAAGATGAAGTGACTCACTTAATTGCCTTAATTCTGTTTCTGTCTGCTAGTCTACATGGCTTGTTTCCTGGACACAGGCCTTTCTATTTCTGAGTCAAGTTGGAGACCCTCAGTAGAACATGGTATTTGGAATTCTGCAAAAGAGAAAATACTTTAGATTGTTTTTAACATATTATGAATTTCTACTGATAATTTTTGGGATTTTTTTATACACTTCTGATTAATTATTAGAAACATGATTGACCCCGTTAATCTTTTTCACATATCTTAGGAGAAATTTTGGGGTTCTGTCTGCATATATTTTATTTATTTATTTATTTATTTAAAAGATTTTATTGGGGAATTGAGGGAGGGGAACAGTGCTGGGGAATCAGGGAGAGGGGAACAGACAAGTTGCTGTCCTGTTCTTCTTCAGTCTAGTTGTGGAGGACGTTGCTTCACTGGCCCATGTTGGTATTATCATTGAACTCTTCCCGGGTGAGGCAGATCGGTCGCCGGCCTCTGGATGGCCACTCATGGCAGCTCTTGGCAGCTCACACCGGCTGCTGAGCTCACGCTGGCTACTGGCCACACACTGTAGCATATAGCAGCCCACTGCAGCAGGAGCTGCAGCCTACGCCATCGCTGGGGACTCACGGCAGCCCAGCTCCAGGTTGAGCTGTTGTTCTCCATCTTAGCTGTAGAGGGCAGTGTCACTGTCCCGCATATGTGGGATCCGAACTGGGGCCCTGCTGCTCAGAGCTGGCGTTCCAAGCCAGCTCTTAACTAACGTGCCACTTGGCTGGCCCCGTGTCTGCTTATATTTTAAATTGTAATATTTGTGATAGAAGCTTATTTGATAGTATTCATTGCTGGGTGAATTAAACTGAGTTTAAGCACTTATGTTCTGATTTCAGAAAGGTTTTACTTACCTGGAAGCTCAACATTCTGGTAAAGCAATGCATTTTCGAAAATGTGAGCCTTACCTTTTCAGTGGCATTTAGAAATAGAACAGTCAAATTGAAAGAGTTTTAAGTCTTATTTCTCACTAAATAGAACAAATCTCACTCTCTGTATATGATATATGAGTATGAAGTAAGGACTATGATTTTTTTAATTATTAAAAAGATATGTGAAATAATTTTGAATAAAGGAAAAACTAATTCACTTTCGCAACAATATGTTACATTTTATATTCCAATTTTTGTTTATATACCTTTATTTTTAATATTTTTTTTCTTTTTACATTGTGGATTATAGTATACATAATTTAGAATTCGGAAATGTTCAGTTAAGGTTATATCATAAACATTTCTTTCATAATCAAACTGTGATAAGCAAGTAGCCAAGGGAAATGATGCTGTTTGAAGTAATCACATTGAGAAAATATATACCTTTACAACTTCTGTCATTAGAATCATTTGAAGTTATGTAGTAAACCAGTCCTGTTATAGTCTGCTACATTTTACAGTATTACTCAGTTTTATCTCCCTTGTTATTCATCATACATGGCTTTGAATGACTGCTGACTGCTTTCAAAAGTCATATCAATTCCCCAAATATGAGGAAAAAATGTGCTGCTGGATCTGAAGGTAATTCTAAAAGTACAGTTTTTGAAAAGGTTTTGAACCGTGGCATTATCCATTAACAGCAACTTGGGCTGCCATCCAGCAATACCTATACAAAATACACACATGTAATCAGAACAATTCTTGAGAAAAAGGATATACAGATGTATAGAATAGGTAAACATAAACAGGCAATCAAAAGATAAGGACAAAATGTGAGGGAATAGAAAGTAGAGGCTGAGAAGAATACAAGAGTTTGCTAGTATAGAATTCTAAAACTTTGTGCATAGTAGGCATTCACATACTTAATGAAATTATGGAACCTCAGTTGTGTGGAAGAGACCTTAGTTTAATATTTCTCTCAAGTTGTTGAATGAATGCGTATTTGTTATAGAAATTAGAAACTGGTGTATGTGGTATTTGGCTTTGTGACCAATTTCCATTCATAGTCTTTTCTACAATACATTTCTCTTGGGTTAGCATTAAAATGTTTTCAAGTTCTCTGTCAGGAAAAGTGGTCAGTCGCAAGTGTTCTAGATATCAAAAGAAAACTCTTGGAATTTTAAGAACTATTTCAAAAGGTGATAATGACGTTTGAACAGAAATTTAGGGAGGTATTTTTTTTTGAGTCGTGAATGGAATCTTACCAATAAACTCAGTATTTACTGATAAACTACTATGTACCAGGCATTGTTCAGATCCTGGGGCTACTGCCATGAACGGAACATGATGTATGTGTGCAAAAAGCTTAAAAGTTGCCAGGAATACAGACCTATACATAGGTACTGTAATACAGTGAGAGAATGGTAAGGAGCTATTATGGAGCACAAAAGAGGGAGATCAAGAAAGACTTCCCAGAAGAAATAATTTCTTAGCTAAAACCTAGAGGAGAGATGTTTCTAGCAGGAGGAACATTTGCAAAGGCCTGGAGGAGATAGGGACAGACTTACACACATGTAGAGACAAGAAAGCAGAGATAATAGGTTTAGGGAATTGATATATCCAAATGAATAATAGAGCCTAGGTAATGGAAGATGCAGTAAATGGAACTAAAGAGATTAAGTGAGTGCCAGATTAGGAAGGACCTTGTTAAACCATGTTAAGGTACCTGGCTTTATTCTGAGTGTAGTGGGAATCAGTGAACTTTTAATTAGGAGAGTGACATAATCAGATTTGAATTTCTTAGAAAGAGCTACTTGGCCATAGTGGAGAAGAGGTAGGCACAGAGATCAGTGTAAGATTGTTGCATTAGTCTAGGAAAGACACTGGTTTCTTGAAATAAGTTAGTGGCAAGAGAAGTGAACTCTGAAAGATATGGGTAGAAGTCAGAGGAGTCAGAATGAACATCTAGATACATAAGGTTTGGTAGAGAAGTTGTTTAGGGAGAAGATTAGTTCAGTTTTAGGTTAG